AAATCGATGGCTATGGTGGTGGCTTCATTTAGTAACGTTTCCATTTTTTGTTTCTGTTTCTCCATTTTCAATAAAGAAAAAATCAATTGCATGACTCCAACATCCATGAATTCAAGTATGATAAAACAATCTTTTTATTTATGTTTTGGAGAAAATTGGAAATGATAACAAAAAAAAAAAAAAACTTATTTTGGTTGTTTTAAAAAATTTCTATACAATTTTGAAAAGGCTCTAAAAAGAGAGAAACAAAAAATATAGTTAGTTGTAAAATACTTAGATTTATTAAGAAAATTAGAAACAATAAGCAAGAAACGGAAACGTTACCAAACGGACCCTAATAATATGTTGATGAATTGTACGGAACTTAATTTCCAACCCTTTTTATAACCTCTTGGAGATTATTTTCAATCTCCCAATCTTATGAGATATATACATAGCATTCCTTTGTAAAGCTTGATTCTTGAGGATTTATTTTCAATCTCAAAAGCAATTCAAGTTTAAGGATAAAACTTAGATACTTATTAGTATCTTCCTACTTAACTACCTAAATTTTATCCCAAGTTTAATAGGTAGTACTGTTAGGTGTGTTGAATTTGCAAAGTAAACACGCAGTGAAAGATTGGGCTGGGGTCAAGCTCAACAGGAATGTCATGGGCCGATTGGGTCAAATGCAACCAATTGAAAAGGAACCTAAATGGGCCCAAGTTTAGGAAAACTTTTATTTCTGGGATTGGGATTAGTACATTCATAGACTGTTATTACGATACTATAATTAAGATTGAATGATATAAAATTTACACTTTTGTTATAAAACAATTCCATTTAAGATGGTATCCATCACTCAATTTACTAATATATCCTTTTGTATCTCACCTCAATATTAATTAATTTTTAAAATCCAAAATTTGGTTACTTAGATGTTACATTTTAAATCCCTTAAATTTTGACTAATTAGAATTTCCATAACTAAAAAATACCAAATCTCCAAAATCCTCCATTATTGAAAAAATTCGAAAATCTCCTCCCTTCGACTTTTCTTCTTTCTCTGTTGTTCTGTTTCCGTTCATTCCTTCTCCAGTCGCCGTTTACATTCCTTCGTTTCCGACCGCCGCCTCCATTCTTCTTCATTGTCGGAATAGTCCGTCTAGCTTCTCCTTCGTCTCCGGTCGCCCGTCCATTGTTTCCGTCCATTTATCCCGAGGTTTCTTTTTTGTCACCGGCCGTCCGTCGACCATTCGAACCTTCCGTTTATCCCGACCATTGTCTAGTCCCCGACCGAAAGGTTCGTAGGTTATTTGCTTTGTTTGTTAATTGTAGAGGGATATAGTCGTATATACTTTCTAGCCAGATATAGGTTATATCTACATATAAGTGTATGTTATAATGACTATAGTTTATATCACCATTGTTAAGTGTATGTTGCTTAAGTTTATAGTCGGATATAGTTTATATTTTTATATAAATGAAAAGGTAGCCGGATATATATATATATATATATATATTTATTTATTTATTTATTTATTTATATACAAAAATAAAAGTGTGTTATAATGGCTATACAAAATAAAAGTATTTTGTAATAAATTTCATTATTTAGTAGAATATATTAAGGAGTAAATTTGGCAATTATGAGAATAAATTTCTTTCTTAGTAGAATATGTTGAGGAGTAAATTGTGGAATTATGAGAATGATTGATTTAGGTCCCACAATAATTTAATGTTTACAAAATAAAATTTGGAATATTAATCTTTTGCATTTAAATAAAAGATTAATTATAATAAATATAAATACCATAAATAATGGCAAATTTCGCATTTAGAAAAAGTTTTAAATCCAGAAATCTAAAACTGTAAAATTTGTAAACATTGCACATTTGTGAAAATAAATTTCCAAAATAGCTCATCCAAGACATTATCTCTTTATTTTTAGATCGAAGAGGCCCATAAAAGATTATAATCGTCGAGGGACAACATGGGTGTGGCCCGAGTGTTTGGCCTAGGGAAAGAATGAGAGGAATGAGTGATAGAACCAAAATTTTAAATATCGATGTCCATAGAAATTATAGGGTCTCAATTACATAGAACTGTCGATGGAAAATATCGATGTCGGTGAACGTTTTTTGAAAGATTATAAAAAAAATTCGTTAAARAATATTTAAATTAATAAATAAACATTTCATCCTTTTAAATAATAAGTTGGAAATTATTAATATTAATATTTAAAAAAGTGATATTTTTCATATTTTGACAATCTTCTTTTTCCGGCACTGTGAAAATGTAGAAATCAGGCCAGAAAAAAGGGCATAATGGTGTAACAAAAAATAGGACTTAATAAGGGACTAAAGAGATGGTGTACATTTTTTAGCTTTGAGTTTATTTTAGTTCAAAATGTTTATTTTGGTCCATGTATTTTTTACTTTTATTTTAATTCCTCAAATGTATGTTTTAGTTCTTGTTTGAAAATTTTTAACAATTTATATATACAATAGAAATTCTTTAATATAAATTTATAGCTAAATTTCAAGAAATTTAGTGAGTTATAGTGTTGTACTATAAGATAAAAAATCAAACGAAGAGATCAAATAGTCACTTTTTAAAAATACAATCAATTTCACACCAGATGAAAGTACCAAAATAAAAAATAAACCAAAATTAAATATATAAAGACAAAATAATAGTTAAACTGATAAATACAAACTCATCCTCCTATTTTTTATAATAGAATGATTCCTGATCATAATAGAATAAGACATCTGATTATCTCAATCAAAATCAAATGTAATTTCAGTTACTAATGGAAATCTAAACCATATCAAAATCTGAAATCATATCATGTCGAGTGTAATTTCAATTTGAACCCTAAATCATATCAAATCATATCATGAACAAATAAAATAAGGTGTGAACACTGCCTGCCGCAATTCTACCACAGGCTTAAGACTTCTCTTTAGTGATTTCCACGAAGTTAATTCTCATTAAGGAGATCTRGTTTCAAATGTAGCACGGGTAGCTTTACATCCTTAATAAACTTCTACCTTTGCAATAAAAAAAAATCAAAAATCAAAAATCAAAAATCAAAAATCAAAAATCAAATAAAATAAGGGCATGTGAGATACGTAGTGTATAAAAAAACGGTTAATTGTGTTTTCCTTTTTCTTTTCTTTTTTTCCTCGTGGGGACTAAAGACCATCGCACTCGACCGGAGAAAAAAGCACAGGCGCACGTTTATAATCAGTAGAAACCGACAAGTCGTTGATCGTGAGTTGTATTGTTGGCGCTTTTGGAAAATAGATCGACGTGTCGAATATATATATATATATATTTTGGAAAATAGAGGGAGTGGTGAATAAAGGCTAAAACCGACCACACCAATAATATATATATATTTTTTAACAACACACCAATAATATGTTGACCATACTAATAATAGATACAATAATTTTTTATAATTCAAACCCCGACCTTCATTTAAGGATTTATTTACAATCTTTTCCTTTATCTAATTTAAGTATTATTTTAATTTTTACCCTCTCAATTTTTACTTTTTTTTATTTATTTTTAATTTCACAATTTTCAAATGTAGGGAAGAAAATTGTATTTTAACTTTTAAGTGATTGTAACAAGAAACTTTGATTGCTAAAGAAATTGTTATATTCAAATTCAAAATTAGGGAGGGATCTACGGTAGAAATTTTGTTTCAATTTATACATATACATCTATCTTTTTTTTTTCTTTGACCAATTGTTGTTCTTTGACCAATTGTTGTCAACCATTTCAAAGCTTTTTTTTTAATTTATATGTTGTCTATATAAGTAATATTTTTCTATAAATTATTATACCAATATCTTTTTTTCTTATATATAAATCATAGAATTTTTAAGATTGGATGGTTCTTCATTTTCAATTTGAAGAAGTCAATAATTTGGTGGTAAATTGTATAATAGGTACATTTTTTTAAAACTTTACCTCACATGTACTATGAATGTGAGGTTATTTGAAATATAATAGTTTGTAAAAAAAAAACCCTCAATCAACCTAAATTATGGATATGCCATTGTCTAAAACTATATGATTGAGTTGGGGTAATTAAGTTTGTCAATTTAATTTGTTTAGCAACATAGCTCGATTAACCTTTCTTATATAGATATTTAAGATTCAAATCTTCAACTACCCACAATGTCATACTATATATGTTATTTCTACCATCGTTTAAAATTGAAACAACATCGACCTAGTATTAAATGTGATATGATCTTAAAATAACTTTAAAATAAGGTTAATAGTTTGTATTTTTTCTTATATAAGTTTTGAGATGTTATAGAATATTGAGTTGATTSAAGCATTTCAAAAAAAGATTATCTTTAAAGCTACCAATCACTAYGATAAACCATATTCTCTTTAGATGATTTTGAAATCTTGATGAAAAATGCACAACTTTTTGGCAGGGATATCAAATTTGAATAATAAAATGATTATAGTTTAGATAACTATTCAACATTATTATATTTATGGTAAATTACAGTGCCATGCTATTATTATTAACAACGTGAAGACCATTTTTAAAATGAAACAATATCTCAATAGAGACGACATTGGTCTTTGAAGTGTGATATTGTATTATAGTCTAATCTATTAACTTTTATTGAATATTTTTTTAACACAATCTAGGATGGGAGGATCTAAATTTCTAACTTCGAGAAAAAAGTAKAAATTTTTACATGTTGGCTATTAAAGATTAAATTTGATAAAGTAAACTTTCGATAAAACAATATGAAATTTATTATTTTCTTCAAGAGAGAAATTTCTCCATCATGTCGTTATAAAACGACCCGAGATTTATTTCATGTATTATTTCCAAGTTTCTGGCCGCTACAAAGAATCCGATGAGAAGTTGTATAATGTAGCCGCCGTAATTTGGTTCTCTCCTCGTAACCATTAGATATTAGTCAAACTACYGTCTGTAGATTCTCTTTCATACATATATYCAACCATATAAAATCACCCGCCACATTATTCCAACCTCTAATAATTTTGGCCTCACTCGTCACTCCACAGCGACAATTCCGTCGTATTCTCACACTCTTCCCAATTGAAACCCCTCTTCATTCCCGGCGGTGTCAAAATCAGTCCCTCCGCCATGCCGGCAATAATCGCCGGCATGTTAAACAACTCCTCCTCGTCAATAAACAACCTCTTTGAAGAGCCTTCCGGCACCACCTTCTCCCCCGACACTGAAGAGGAACACAACGACAACGACGATGATAGATTAGACGGAATCGACAATATGCCATCCGATGAAACCGCCTCCGCAGCCTCAACCGCCATCGTACGTATATGATTTATGGAGGCTGACGATGATGTAGCTCGCGGGAACGAGTGAGCCAACTCGGGAAAATTGAGCGACGCGGACTCGCCTTTAAGAGCCAATGCAGCAACGTCGTACGCGACGGCCGCCATTTTCGGGCTTGTGAAGGTCCCAACCCAAAAGCTTGACTTTTTATTGTTCGGCCGCCGGAGCTCGCATACCCACTTCCCATTTCTCTGGCGGACTCCTTTGAAAATCGGGTGGCGTGTCTCCTGAAACTTTTTCCGGCCAGCCTTCCGTTTCTTCCCCGCCGCCGTCTGCGGCGGAGAGTTGTCGGCTGTGGAGCTTGAAGGTGAAGAAGTCATGAGAAAGAGAATTGTGTGGCGATGCCCTAATGGAGCTGTATATTACGACTCAATACAACAGAGAATCTTTCTATTTATTTAATGTTTTTTATTGTCCAAAAAAGAATAATGTTAAACACGTGGTCAAAATTCTGGCCACATTTTATATCCCACGTGGAACCGGCTTACAAAATCCTCACGTGCGGAAATTAACTTCCATGATGTGTTGATTTTTTCTTTTTTGTTTCCTTTTATATATACGTTTCCCACAACAGGATTGTAATTGTATTTAGGAAAAAAAGTGCTAAATATATATTTTAATGTTTAATATTGGAGTGTTTTTACGAAAAGTGAATATAGCTCAAAATTGGTATATGTCTCCAACCAATAGGTTTAAGTTTGATTTCTCACCCCCACATATTGTACACAAAAAAGTAGTAGTAATAATAATAAATAAAATATTTGAGTGCTTTTTAAATTCAATTTTTATTATTTTTAAAAATAATTTAATGATCGAAGTTACACGTTTTAGCTAATTAAGAGAGATTGCATTAATATATAGATAGAGAATAATTATCTCAATTGGCATGATACCTTTTAAATAAATCGTGATAATCATGATTAAAATCGATAATATCATATAATTATGGAGATATTGAAGATATACATTCCATTTTGTTTCGCATAACAAATATATTACCTTATACTAATTAAATTGGGTGATGCATGATTAGAATAAGAATTAGGCTATTTTTCTCAATTGAAATATTAGAAAATGTTGAATTTTATTTTGGCATCGAATCTTTTTCTTTTTTAAATTATTTGGGATTTAATTGAAAAATGGTATATATTGTGGGATGAAATTATATATTTAGCCCAACTAAACTTGTGGATATGGTTTTGTTGCCGGCCGTCATACTTTTCTCTGCTAAATTTTTCAATTTTGATTTATGAACACTTATTCACCTCCTTTTTTATTTTTTAATTTTTAAAATTTTAATTTTAGCTCTCCAACTTTGAATATTGATACACATCAGATTTGGATATGACATAGTTCACAATCACAATAAATATATTGGATCACATTCTGAATAAATTAGAAAAAAAATTTTGGGTGCTTGAATCAAAGAATCAAAATGATTAAAAATTACCTTTTAAAAACTTCATTTTTTTCAATACTAAATCTCGAAAATATTTATAACAAAATAAAGGAAACACATTGAATATAGTGGTTATCAAATTGAGTCTTAATTTGATGTCATCTTAAACATGATTAAACCATCCTTCAACATAAAAGTTTAAACTAATGAATTAAGTTAAAGTTTAAACATTAAAAAGTTATCTTAACACAAATTTGTTGATTTTTTGGGTTTAAAAAACAGAAAATATATTTATCATGAATTTTATTCATTAAAAACAGAAAACCAAAAATGAAAAACAAACTATAGAAAATAGAAAATGAAAATGAAAATGCTTATCAAACAAAACTTAATATGTTTTGATTCCTAAAAATTAAAAAAACGAAAACACTTATCAAACAAAACTTAAAATGTTTTGATTCCTAAAAATTAATTTTAATTTTGTTTTTAAAATTATTATTATTATTATTATTATTATTATTATTATTATTATTTGTTAGTGTTCGTGAATCTTATTTCCTAATATTCTGTTCATAAATAAGAATTTCTTAGTCAATAAAAACATAAAGTCAATGGAGATAGAAAATGTACTTTCTAATTCGTTAATGTAAATACTTTTGACAAATAAAAAAAGTGATATTTTTCAAAAGTTAAAAATATTCCAAAATACTTTTGATAAAAAAAAAATCATGAGAATTTATAGATTTAAAAAAAACTACGAACAATTATGTATCCTTATTAATCCACAATTGTTCGCCAACATCAGTATAATTTAGTAGTAATTTAATGGTATTCAACCAAAATTATTAGGAATAGTTATAATAAATAATTCTCACTCACCACTCAAATCTTATATTTACTTAAATTCAATATTGAACTACAAACATAAAAGATATATTTATAAATAAATAAATAAAGTGGTTGTTTTGGCTTCTTTCCTTATCATTGACCACTTGGAGTTACTATTTGCTTTAATTATTATTTGTGGGTACGAGTTTCACACGACTAAAAAATACTAAAATATATATACTAAAATATCTCATATAACCATAGTACAAAAGAGTGATTATTATGATATTAAAAAAAAGGGTGATTATTATAAAAAGTCATGAAGACTGAAAATGAAAGCAAACAATCACTAAGCTACGGTTTTTATATATTTTTTCTTTTTTGTCCCGATTTTGTTCTATATTATTGTAATATTTTTTTTTCATTTATTTTATCTTATTATAAAAATAAATATATGTACTAATTCATTGCTAAATTTCTGAATATAATTTCGTTTATATGTTACATTTAGATATAAAATAAATATTGGTCAATGATATAATATTTTAATTTATTTTTAATTTAAATCTAGTAAACAATCTTTTATTTATTTTACTCTTCTAATAGTCACTAAATATAAATTAAAATAAGACATAAAAATATAATATTAAATTAATAAAAGTAAAATTTTTATACGAATTTAAATGATAGTAAATTTAACATATAAATTATATGAGAACTAGTAAAGGTATTTTTGGAACATCACATCAATTTATAATATTTCCACGAATAAATCATGCAAAACAACTGTGGTTATCCAAATATTCTCGGATATCCTTATAAATTTTCCTACAAACGTAACTATCTTAAATTCCAAACATCTAAAATTTCAGACATTTGAGATTTCACGTATTTACATTCCAAAAAACAAACCGTCCCTAAAGTGTTTTTCATCCTATTTAGATCAATATTCATGATTAAGGAATATTGAATTTTGTTTCGGGTAGGCCTTGAGAGAGGGTCTTTCTCATCGTCTTAGGTCAACGGATCTTCTCCTATATTGAAATATCTCTGTAATTAAATCTAAACTCGAATAACCAAGCCCGAAGGTAGAAATCAAATTGGTAATTTAACAAGAATAAAGAAACTATAGAAAAAGCTACTTCATTTACAGATTCATGTATATACAATCTTCATATGTAAACCAAAAAAATCGTGTTTTGAAAAAAATAATAAAAATTGGTGACACTTCACACTTGGAACTTCTTTTGTAGCGGGACATTGTTGTAATTAAACATGTCGACCATGTATTTTTATGTAAAATTTGTATGTCTTCTTGTATGCAACGAATAAGACGGATATATATTTGTTTTATCCCTCGTTTTTATTCTTGGTATTTACAACATACAAAATTAGAAATAATTTTGACTTCGAAAATTTTGGGATTCTCCTAAAATGTAAGTGATAAAATAACGATTTTATTTTGGGTTTTATTTTTGAAATTAAGCTTATAAAAAATAGTGATATTTGTTTAGTTTTTTGTTTTATTTTTTAAAAAATACTTTTAAAATCTGAGTCAAAGATATTTCTTTTTTTAAAA